TGGTCTGAGGTTGGGGGTATTGCGTGACGAGTTCACAATGCGGTGAATTCCCGCTCCCATTTACTTCACAATCACAATATAGAGAGTCGCGCGTCACGATCTGTGCACTGCCGCGTCTCGCGCTCGCCATGCCGACAGATTCAGAATCAGTGCACCATGTCGTTTACTTGAACTGCATTTCTTAATAAGAAATTAGCACAGCTCGTTAATAAACAGCGTTTTTTGATTGATCCATTATACGATCCGTCTTCATTTGGCAAGTGCACTTGGGCAAAAACATTTTTCTTGTTGAACTTTTGTTTTTTTGTTTGTGGATGCTGCTGATAAAACAGCTTCGCCGAGACTTCAAAGACAAAGAGACAAAGTGTGTTGTTTGTTTTGTTTCTTTTGTAAAAGTTTCCTGGATATAACTTCCCTGCACAATTTTCCTTTCAAATTATATTATCAGCACAATGTGAGTAAATGTAGCCGTGTAAAATGTAAGGGATGATGCCACCCTTCTAGAACAATGTAGCCTGGTTCAACCAGACTCTAGTTCATTTCATTTCATGAAATTGAGCGGAAGTGCGTAGGAGGGCGCATTCAGGCTAAGAACAATGTGCATTTACGTTTAAATTGTAACATATTTAATAGCATGGAATTAAAGTGTGTAATTGTTAGCTCACTATCTTAGCCTTTTTCAGTGAGGTAATCTGATAATATAGATTATCATTTATCAAAACACTAACATTGGTACCGTTTTGGAGAGAAATTGGGTATTTTTAATCTCTCTATTTAACCCATCTCTTGGTGTGTGATGCTGAACTATCATATGAGTTTCTAAAGGTTTTTGAATTCTTTGCACAGTTATGAATATTGATATGTTATGTGCAACAATAGCATGTGGCTTTTCGCCTAATTTTAAATGCTTCCCCCCCCCCAAATAATATGATTTAATGTGAGTGTGCTGATTTGATGCATTTTAAAAAGATGGATGATAGATATTCTTCAATCTTTCTTACAAAGAACAAAATATAATGTGAATTGCAGTATGTGCAATTTTTTTTTTTTTAATTTATAAATTGTAGTGCACAATGTTTATTATAAGGGGTAGAATCCGCACAGTACTCAGTACTCACTACTCATGAGTACTTTTAAATAAGCTACTTTTTTACTCTTACTCAAGTAGTTTTTTGGACAAGTACTTTTTACTCTACTCACACTACATTTTTTGGAATGTAATGGTACTTTTACTTGAGTATGTTTTTTTCAGTACTCTTTCCACCACTGCAAATGAATTAACCAAATATGTGTAGAACTATTTAAGTAGACCTACATTAAAATTATTCTTCCACTTCAAAAACAGAGAATGCTGCATATGGTGGAAAAATAGAGATTGGGGAAGACGGATGACTATGAAATGTAGTCTGGGATTTAAGGAAAAACATATAAAAGTGAACGATGGAGATAGAGGAGGAATAATCCAAATAAATGCAAAGCAAGAAAAGGAAGGACGAGCAAAAGAGGAGTAAGGTGAAAAAAATATGATATTTGAGTGGGATGAAATCAGAAGAGGAGAAGGATTGAAAATAGGCCTACTGTGAAAAACTCAAATGTATCTTGTTTCATCTGTTTGCTTCTCTCATTTGTTCCACTTAAATTTCCCTCAGGAAATTGGATAGAGATAAATTGGGATAAAGGAAAATTGGAGACCTTTATTCACTTGTTTCCTAAAGAGATTAAAAAACAACAAACAAACATACCAGGAAATGAAATATGCCTAATACTGAGATAAAATGGGAACAATTTTTTTTAATTAATTTTATTGAATATTTAAGTTTCATATATAGAGCAGTTTATGGTTTTAATTAATTTTAGTCAAATACTAGTGCTTATGCTATGAGGTGTTACTGTGTTACTGTAGTGTTACCATAGGCTTTTACTGCCAAGAAAGACCGTAACACCAGACAAATTAGCACAAATCCACACTTTTCTAAAATGCCGTAATGATAGTTTCAAGATCATGGGACAAATAAACCTTTTTCTTCTTCTTCTTCTTCTTTTTTATAATGAAACTTGTTTTTTTTTGTAATAAATAATTAAAGTACACATATTAAATAACAGAACATTTTTTTAAATACATGAAGTGTGCATGTTAAGTAACATATTTATTCACAATATAACCACTTTATTTGTTATATTGTGTTGTATTGTTTCAAGTGCATTCCAGGATATATATTGTCAGTATGTGTATTTTATACAAAGGTTCAACTTTTAACAATTTACAGATTGTTTTCATCCTACATACAAATGCAAACACTTGTCAAAAATCAACAATATGATTTCTTAGTATTTAAAGTTTATTTTTGTTGCTGCAAAGTAGAGGGACACCACATCATCGAGAATGGGCCTATAAAAACACTGATCTTCAGGCAGCAAACAAAGTCAGGCTGTTTTTATCTGTGGGGAAGAGGGTAAAGAAACTGATTACGGAAAATTTAGAGTGGGAATCCATTTTCAACTCCAAAGTTGGTCAATTTTTCAACTTGAAGTCAACTCCAAAACTTAACCTCAAAATGTTTCCACTAACAGAAGAGCAGTAGAACCTCATTGCAGTACATGAGATCCAGGGGGCGAACTCTTGTCTTTGACTGAAGAGGTAACACAAGAGCACAATTAACGGAAATGAAGGAGTTGAAGTCAGTTTATCATTCATTAAAAAACAAAAACAAACTTTATTACGCTTCCGCCTCAGTTGGCAGGCAACGCAGTGACTTTGAAGATAAGTTGTGTGTGCTTATGTATAGTGACTTACAATGCATATTTACTTGTATGTATTAAAGAAAACAGGAAAGGTTAGATTGTCAATATAAAAAGTGTAATTTATAGTTTACACTGTTTAAGATCTTGTGGTATGCTGACTTAAAATGTCTGGAATTCAGTTTTGAAGTCAAAGTCGACTTCATTTACTCGCCCTCAAATTGTTTCGGACCTCTATAAATTTCTTTCTTCTGCTGAACACAAAGAAAGATATTTTGAAGAATGTCAGTAACCAGACAGTTGATTGATTCTATACAGTCTAAGCTTCCGTAGTAGGAAAAAAATACTAGGCTATGGAAGTCAATGGGGTCCATTAACTGTCTGGTTACCGGCGTTCTTCAAAATATCTTCTTTTGTGTTCAGCAGAAGAAAGAAATTCATACAGGTTTGAAACAACTTGAGGGCGAGTAAATGATGACAGATTTTCATTTTGAAGTAACTATTCCTAAGAGTGAATGATGTAAATGTTGTGGTACCTGAGTCCGACCTAGACATTAGTCCTCACACACAAATGCTCATGGACATGACACTATACACACACCCACACAAAATACAGTTTTTATTTGTCTGTAAAATTAGAGCAAGCCCCGAGGAAAGATGTGGACAGATGAATGAAGACTCTGACCATTTGACTAAAAGTCATGTATTCTTGCTTACCTCTCTCAGCACATAATTAAAAGGCTGTTTCTGTGTGAGAGCTACAGGGTACATTATTGTCATTCTCTGTTTATCTCTCTCTCTCTCTCTCTCTCTCTCTCTCTCTCTCTCTCTCTATGACATTTTGTATTTGGCTCTGCTGCTTTTGTAAATGCTTAAAATTTGGCAGCACCACTTCAGGGATGTTTTTCTCATACGGTAGCATCTGGAAATACTTCAGAGTTTTCAAAGATACACACACACACACAGAGAGAGAGAGAGTGACGAATCAGTCTATGAATCAGAGATCAGATGTTGTGTCTTTGTTCTGAGGGCAATTTTGCATCACTAATGACTAGTTAACCCAGTGAAGCTGCTTTCAGGGTTCTGATACACAGGCCAGTATCATTAAGCGATGTCATAAGCAGCTGTGCCGCAAAGACATGACGTCATGTCTCCTGCTGTCCAATCACAATGCACAGACAGTTACCAAGAGGGAAGGCTGGCTTTATGACAGAAACTCGACATCCAGAGACCTTGACTTTCCATAGTACTTTTTTTTTCACCAAAGTCAATTGAATAAAAAAAAGAGCAACCACTACATTCTTCATTACCCAGACAGCAACATAATGTCAGCCCAGATACGGCCCACATCTGGTACACCGTACATGGATTCCACACGTACCAGATGTGGGCCGACATTATGTCTGGGTATTTGTCCTATTGTGTTCCACAGAAAAAAGTCAGTCAGGTTTTGAGCAACATCAGGATGAGGAAATGATGACAGAATATCCATTTTGGTGTGACCTATGTCTTTATGTGTGATGAAGAGTTTTGTTTTACGGCTGTAATTGTAATCCTCTGGAGGTGCACCCCCCCCCCCCCCTTATTAACGAGGTTTGCCTTAATTAGCAAATTGGACTGTTACCAATAATCCTGGAGGAGTGGCGTGCACCTGAGGAGAAAAGAGGCAGGAAGAAAGAGAGTGACGGAATTTTGGAGAATTATTTCTTTGCGATGGGAATTTTTGGGATTATGTTTGTAAAAAAAATATTTTAATCAAGTTGCACTTTGAAATATTACAAAAAGACATTCATTAATGCAATTTATCAGAGTCAGAAATTCATCAGGGTTTGCGGCAAAAATGTTCCTGATATTTAAAATGCATGGGGAAATGCTCTTGTCTTGAAAACTCCTCAAATTGTTTTAATCTGTCATCATTTTAATGTACACTACTTTTCAAAAGTTTGGGGTCTGTAAGTTTATTCGTTTTTGTTGCAAGAAAGATTAATTTAGTTTAAAAGAGACAGCAAGTATTTCTATTTTAAATAAATGCTGTTCTTTTGAATTTTCTATTCACCAAAGAATCCTGAAAAAAAAAAACTGAAATAATCAAATTTGTAAATGTCTAGGCTTGGTTTAGTATTGGTTATTCAACAATGTATGGCATTCCAAAATTATATATATATATATACAGTGCCCCTTATTTTTTTCTTTCTTTCTGACGATGCAATATATATTCAGTAACATAGAAACTAATTTCTGTGTCTCTCTTTGTCTGTCAGTGTTCAGCGGCCCGCGGTTTTCTCAGGAGCCGGCGGATCAGTCTGTGGTGGTCGGGGAGAGAGTGGTTCTCTCCTGCGTGGTGTTTAACTACACCGGCATTGTACAGTGGACAAAAGACGGGCTCGCTCTTGGCATCGGAGAAGATCTGAGGGGTGAAAACATACTACATACACACACACACACATACACACACCAGATTACTCTAACCAAAGCCATCATGCATCTTTTTTTTTTTTGAAGGGGAATGAGTAGCAGTATGAGCTCTAGGTGAGATAAGATGAGACCGAAGGGCAGTAAAAAGGTACTTTTAGTGTAAGACGGGATAGTTTAGTGATACAGTTTTGGTTGAGCAAGGGGCAATGGGTTCAGATTAATAAACCAAGCTATCTGACAGCTATTGATCGCTATTCATTTTAGTTGTATGTAAAAGAGGTTCCACAAAAAAGGTCGTACTTGTTTGGAGCGACACAAGCGATGACAAGATTTTCAATATAAAGCAAATGACTGATCAAAATTAGACGTGAATGCCAATGGCAGCTTGTGGATTTTAAAATAGAGGAGGCACACTAATTATATAGCAGTCTTTTTACTGCTTTAAGAAAATGTTGGGGTTACTTTTAAACATAAAAGAAAATGACACGTGACAAAAATCCATTCTTTTGTCATTTTAAATGTCTGTGTTAAAAGAGCATGTTTGGCTGTTTAGTGAGGCTGAAACCTATATAACTTCTGTGTGGGGTCTTGCTTCATTTTAAATTTGTAGCTGCTGCTCTCAAATGGTACCTTGGTAAATTTGTTGTTACTTTGTTGATCAAGTATTCAATATATCTATCCATTATTAAGGTAGTTGCTATATTATCAGTGGGAGCGGTTCAAACTCACATCATTTATATCTCTGCGATGATTGATTGATGAAAGTCAAATACTCAATTTTTTTTTACCAATGGATGACAAAAGTCTCGTTCTATGGGTTTGCTTCCCCCTCCCTTCTCTATCCCCTCAGACTCGCCTTAGCACAGTTTTTCGATAGATTCGGGGAAGAGCAGCGATTGTTCTGACTTCAGTGATATTCTATGGTGTTACAATGGTGAAATTACCATCAAGAATAAATTCACATTCTCAGACATGAAATAAATAACTGAGAATTGTATTAACATTAAATCGTTTCCACCTCATAATTTTGGGTAGGCTGTGCCTCCCCTGACAAGCCGCCACATTTCGGCTGCAGTGTTTCAGACAAACACCCTTTTTGCCTACATGAATTGTGCAACCCTAATCTTCAAAGATTTTTTTTTTGAAATTGCATTTAAAATCCACTTGACAAGGCATGTTCCCCGCTCTTTGAATGGACATGCTTCAGTTCTGACACTAACCCCTGTCCATACAACATATTTACAACATACAAGACCGCACAAGTATTGCATAAAAGCAAGAGACATATTTTTTTCTTTTATTGTCCAGACATTGCCATTTTGTTTCTTTGTCCTCTGTCTCGCCTTGCTCCCTTTCCCTTTTTTTTGGACATGTTGATCTTTTGTCCGCGCTCTAATCACAGACACATACACATATAGATGTGCAAACACGCGCACAGGTTAAGTGTCTGCTTGCTGATTGGTTGAGCTAAAGGATGATGTAATCGTTGCCAATACTTTTGTCCTCCTGGTATCCAGATCGATGATGTCATAATGTGTGTGCCAGAGAGAGTGTGCAGTTAGAATGCCAATGTGTTGGAGTGCTGCCCTCTGGTGACAAACACACGTCCTACAAGCCAACATATAATCACATCGATTGGTCTGGCTGTATAATTAGGGCCCAAGCCCTGAAAGGGCGAAGGCCCTATTGTTTTCCTTCCGATTATTTTTTTTTTTTTTCTTTTATTTTTCTAACGACTATTCGGGCACTTTTGGGGCCCTTAACATGCTCAAAAACTCTTGAAACTTTGCACACGGGTCAGAACCCGCGGCCATCAGGGCCGGGCTGAAGATGGTACCCGGGCGTGGCAGGGGGGCTCGACAGCGCCCCCTGGAACAGGCTCCGAACACTTGGTCCATAACTCAAACACGCTTGTATATAATATTATGAAACCCGGTACACATGTCGATCTCATTGTTTCATATATACTTCGCACTTTTACTTTTTACCCCAGCCCAACAGGAAGTCGGCTATTTAGGGTTGTTCGTAAAACACTCGCAATGGAATTTTAAATACTCCTCCTAGAGCTCTGATCCAAATTCGACGAAATTTCGGTCAGCGTGAAGTCAAGGCATTGAAGATGAAAGTTTGCGAGGGGATTTTTGATATCTCGAACGGTTTGGCCGTGCGAGGAAACGAAATTATGGCGAGAAACGTGAAACAGAAAGTGTGTCATAACTTCAGCATACATCAACCGATCTTGATGAAACTTCAGCAGTGTGTTCGCTGTAAGAGGACGATCACATGGATGTGACTATTGTGAGTCAAGTTATAGCGCCACCAACTGGCAGCAGGAAGTGTGTCATTTTCAAAATGTTGAAATCACCCTCTAATTTTTACCCGATTTGCTTCAAACTTATCTGTATACTGCAAATACACAGCAGATGAAGACCTGTGAATGGATTCTTGATATCTTTGAAAACTTGCCGTGGCAACGCATCAAAACTTAACCATTCTTTTAGGATGCTTTTGAGACCCTTAGCATGCTTTAAATTGCATGAAACTCGACAGACACATCACATTTATTAGCCAGTAGACATGTGCAAAGTTTCAGAAACGGGCGTGGTGAGGGGCTCAGTAGCGCCACCTTTTTGACAAAAGTGGGGTTGTTAGTTTTATCTACAGTTACAAAAATCGGATGTATATTGTACTCCTCGAGCCGGACAACTTTCTAATTTGACACTCATTAGCTAGGACCCACAGAAAGTCAGATATGTTTGTTTGAATGTAGAGAAAATCTCAGAATTTGCCAGTCTCTTCAGTGTCCCTCTGTGTGAGTGAGAGGAGGGGCGCCTGTCAGGTTAATTTTAACCCTTTATTTTGCTGTGTGCGACTTCTCTGGCATTTTCGGGGCCTTAACATCCTCGAAAACTCTTGAAACTTTGCACACGGGTCAGAACCCATGGCCATCAGGGCCGGGCTGAAGCTGGTAACGGGGCGTGGCAGGGCGGCTCGACAGCGCCCCCTTGACTGGGATTCGAACATTTGTCCATAAATCAAACACACTTGCATGAATTAATATGAAACTCGTACAATTATAGATCACATCAGGCCAAACAACTTTCGTGCTCTAAGTTTTATGACAGTTCAAATGGAAGTTTATTATGAATTATGAATTATGGTTGTTTTGAATAATTGTCCTAGGAGAAATACATCAAATTACAACGCATGTGTTTACCAATCACAACCAAACTCGGTGTGCATGAAGTCAAGACATTGAGGATGCTCAATTCCGGACGGATTTTTTGATATCTCGAACGGTCTGGCCGTGGCGAGGAAATGAATTTTATGACTAAAAAAAGACACATAAAGTGTGTTATAACTTTGCTCAATTTACCTACAGTTACAAAACTTACCACGTATATTGTTCTCGTCAAGCCGATCAACTTTCCAATTTAAAGTCATTCGCTCTGAGCAACAGAAAGTCAGATATTGTAGTTTGAATGGATTTATTTCCCCTGCGATTCTCTCTCTTTCTCTCTCTCTCTCTCTCCTCTCTCTCTGTGTGTGTGACTGTGTGGGTGTGGGTGTGGGTGTCTGTGTGGGGGAGGGGAGGGCTGTTGTCTGTGTGTATGTGTGTAGTGTGTGGCTGGCTGCGATTTTTCCTACAAGTCCTTTGTCTCTAAGTCCTTGTCTTTTTGCATAACAATTTCGCATAACAATATTTTTAAATGACAAAATAGGCATATAACCCCCATCTTTTAAATGTATAGTTTGCTTTTAAATAAAAGTAAGATTGTATTTGTAATTGAAGTTGAATGAATTTAAAATTCATGTGCTATATTTCAATATATTTGTTTTCCTTAAGATTGTAAAACACTAACTTCATTCTTATCTGAATTACAAATATTTGTTTCTGTATAAAATAATACTCTGACTAAAAACACCATTTGATGTTTGTTTTTTTTTTGTTTTTTTATTTACATGTATTTGTGTGTGTGTGGTGTGTGTGTGTGTGTGTATAAAGTGCAGGGTTTTTTTTAGATAAAGTAGAATTTCTATAACTATGTGTTGAACTAATAAATCACTCTTGTGTGTGTTAAACACAATCTACTTAATACAGACAACTTCATTATAAAGATAAATAACAAATCCAAAAAATATATGATTATAATCTATGACAAAAAAGCCATTACAAACTATATTAATCGAAAATACACATTGCTCTTTGTATTGTTGTAAAATATTCATGAAAAACAAGATAACAAAAATCAAAAAGATAAATTATTTTAGATATAGCCATGTTTTAAATGTATAGCAGAGATGTTAATTGAGGCAGCAACATACAAACTTTCTAGAACAACATGGACCTGGATAGCTGGTTTTTATGGAGGACAGTGAAGAGGAAGAGGGTGCAAATCAAACAGCTCATTCTCAGACTACACAGCAAACAGCTTAAGTTTTTAGTGCTTTGTTTTAGGTTTTTAGTGCTCTGTCCTATCTATTATCAACATATAATAGATGGAACAGAACAAGAAAGGCAATTAATAATCTGTCATTGCGTCACTGCATTATGATATGAAAGGCTCAGTACAGTGTGGCACAAAACGCTTATGCGCATCCCGAGTGGAAAATGATGCGCTTAAAGCCACATGGAGTTACAGCGCACAGCGCATCGAGTCCGCATTGATACAAGCTCTACAATACACTTCTTTTTGATAGTCAAAGCGGGGGTTACGTTTTTACACGTCGTACAGAATAACCCTAAAGGCACCAAGATGGCGGTGCCACCGGCTTCATATTAAATATAAATATAGCTGTGAGCAGCGATAAAGGGCCAAAGCCGGCGGTACCACCATCCCAGTGCCTTTGGGTAACTAAAGGCATCGGGGTTGCGGTGCCACCGGCTTGGGCCCGCAATCGCTGCTCGCAGCTATATTATTTGTTTTAAAATTCAAAGAGCTTTTAAGGTATTTACAAAGAATATATATAGTTGTTTGAGATGAATAATTATTATGGGGGGAAATACATGAAATAGGGACATTCATGCTCTCAAGACATACAGACCGTATATAAATATACCCATATCGGATTGTATAAACTATGCTGGGACATTTGCAGCACAGTTACATCTGCATCTAAAATGATAAATGTATAAAACAAATATTTGGCAGTTTATTGTGTTAAAGTGTAATGGTGTGTTTTTCAGCATGGCCGCGGTACCGTGTTTTACGCATCCTGGATGTTGGGCAGTATAATCTGGAGATCACGTCAGCAGACCTGACCGATGACTCGCTGTACGAGTGTCAGGCCACTGAAGCCGCTCTGAGGTCCAGAAGAGCTAAACTCACTGTTCTGAGTGAGTACACATGGAATATGTTCAGAATAGCATACTAACATTTTTAGCTTCTTTTTTTTACAATGTATATAATATGAGATGTATGCACCTTTCTTTATTTGAAATTCCTGTGCATTTCAGTATACACCAACACACTGTGTGGAATACTCTACCCCACAATGCAATGCATCCAACATGACTTTCCATTTTCAGTTTGATGAATAAACCTAAATCTCTTTTGTCAAGCATTATTTGGTCGAATTGCGCTTTTATACAAAATTGTATGCAAAAGTCAAAGTCATTTTTATTTATGAGATTTTTGCAGAAATTTAATGAGGTCATGTGACAACTTTGTAATACTGTTTACTGTTCTACTGTTTAAATTCTTCATTGTTACATACATGTAATTTTTCATTTTAAAAAAGTATGCATGAATGCACAGTGAATTATACACTAGTATTCCAGTCCGAGCCACCGATACAGGAAGTCTCTTTCTAAAGAATGCATTCGGTTTTCTTTATTTAGCTTTTGTAGAGACACTAATAGCAGCTCAAGAGATGCTGCTCTATTGCCTCGGAGCAATTTAATTATCTACTTTCTCCCTCTCTCTATGTCTCTTTTTATTCATGTGAAGCTTTTCTGCCATGATATACAATAGGTGTACATTGCCATTACACAGACATTATTGAAAAATCAAATCACTTTAGTTACATTACTACCAACACGAGTGAAACAATGCAGTACTTAAACGTTCCACACATTCACCTCCATTCAAAGGTTTGGGGCCGGTAAGATTTTTAAATATTTTTGAAGGAAGTTTCTTTTGATGTTTATGAATAAAATGTTTAATAAAAATAATATGCAAAATATAAAAATGTAAAATATTATAATATGCTGCTTAATTGTGATAATTTTTTAGGATTCTTTGATGAATCGAAAGTTCAAAAGAACAGCATTTATTTATTTATACTATCACTTTTGTTCAATTTAATGCATCCTTTCTGAATAAAAGTACATATAAAATAAATTATATTGATCCCCAAACCTTTGGATGGCAGTGTATAAAACACATTATTCGCAGAGAACAAAATACATTTTATCCAATTGGAATATTATATACATCAGTATTTATAAATGTTATCTGTGTGCTCAGTGTGTCACTTTCAGTATATTATCTGTGTGTCTGTGTAGTCCCCCCTGAAGGTCCTGTTATCGAGGGCTCTCCAGAGATCCTGCTGACGGCAGGAAGCTCATATAACCTCACCTGTGTGTCTCGAGGAGCAAAGCCACTGTCAACGATAGAATGGTTCAAAGATGGGATCATAGTGGAGGGAGCCCATACCAGCACTGTGAGTGAAGACACAAGCAAATATGGCACGATGATCAGATACATGAGAACATAGTCATCTATCTATCTATCTATCTATCTATCTATCTATCTATCTATCTATCTATCTATCTATCTATCTATCTATCTATCTATCTATCTATCTATCTATCTATCTATCTATCTATCTATCTATCTATCTATCTATCTATCTATCTATCTATCTATCTATCTATCTATCTATCTATCTTATCTATCTATCTATCTATCTATCTATCTATCTATCTATCTATCTATCTATCTATCTATCTATCTATCTATCTATCTATCTATCTATCTATCTATCTATCTATCTATCTATCTATCTATCTATCTATCTATCTATCTATCTATCTATCTATCTATCTATCTATCTATCTATCTATCTATCTATCTATCTATCTATCTATCTATCTATCTATCTATCTATCTATCTATCTATCTATCTATCTATCTATCTATATCTATCTATCTATCTATCTATCTATCTATCTATCTATCTATCTATCTATCTATCTATCTATCTATCTATCTATCTATCTATCTATCTATCTATCTATCTATCTATCTATCTATCTATCTATCTATCTATCTATCTATCTATCTATCTATCTATCTATCTATCTATCTATCTATCTATCTATCTATCTATCTATCTATCTATCTATCTATCTATCTATCTATCTATCTATCTATCTATCTATCTATCTATCAATCAGGAGGTGTTATCTGACAGGAAGAGGGTGACCACAAAGAGTTATCTGGAGATCCAGCCAGTGGACACAGACACAGGACGAAATTTCACCTGTGTGGCCTCAAATCTTGCCGCCCCCCTGGGGAAGAGAGCCACTATCACTCTCAATGTCCACCGTAAGTGTTTGTGCTTGCATATATCTATATGGCTGTACTAGCATAGTGTATATCCACAGAAAGAACCCTGATGACCTCTCACTCTCTCTCTCCAGATCCTCCTACAGTCATTCTGTCAATAGAGCCTCGATCGGTTCTAGAAGGAGAGCGAGTTACATTTACCTGCCAGGCCACTGCCAACCCTCCCATTATGGGCTATAGGTTAGTGTGTGTAGTGTGGGTGTGTGTGCTGATCTCAGTGATGTGCTCTACTTGTTTATATGTGTGATGGAGTCAAGGCCTTAAATTGACACTCACCGAGCACCAAATGCGAAAATCTGTGTTGGTGAGTATATAAAGCGGTGTTAATCGCCAGTTGGCCGGTAATATTTTTATGACATCTGGCAATGCAATGTTACTGTAAGAAAAGATGAACATGAACGAACGTGAACGACGCTCTGGACAGTTGAAATATTAGAGCGCAAGAAGATGTGAAAGGAAACTCAGTCTGCTTGCGCTTGAAAATGCGCTTATTGCAGAGTCTCCTCGTAAACGTAGTCAGTTATGTCTTCAGTAAACAGTTGATAAAGAAAATAAAGAAAATTGAGGCGTGCAACCTCTGACATAGCAATTGTAAGTCGCTTTGGATAAAAGCGTCGGCTAAATGAATAAATGTAAATGTAAAGAAAATGCATGTGTATCAGTATATGTATCTGTGTAGCTTTTAAAGTGACAGCACAGCAGCCTAATAGTATATAACTGCTGCCGTCTGTGTCTTTAATGTTAATCAAACAATAAAAGAAAGAAAAATCACTCACTGCTCTTGACTGAATATAATTTTTTCATTTCATTTATACAGTGAAGACTATGCAGTGCTATTTTACATTTGATTACTTTGTAATTGTGAATTTTTACTGGTATCTTTAACTTTGGTGTCATACCTGTTTTTGCATAAACACTTTCATGGCTGGTAAAAAAAAATATTAATGTAAATATATCAAAGCATGAAGCAAAAATTTAATTTTAGGCTAAGAGTGTTAAGAGACTATTTTATTAATGATTTTTATTTTTATAAAATATATCAGGCTGATATTTTCAGGTTTAGTTTAATTGTAGTTTATGTTTTAGTAATTTTGTTGTGTGTTTATTATTTTTATATTACTATTTTCAATATTTTAATATTTTTATATTTTTTTTAAATATAGAATTTATTTCAAATAATTCAAATGTTTACATTTTAGGTTTAGTTAACTATAATAACCCTGGTGTGTTGTAGGTGGGCTAAAGGGGGCGTGATTTTGGACGGAGCAAGAGAAAGTGTGTTTGAGACGACAGCTGATCACTCGTTCTTCACCGAGCCCGTGTCCTGCCTGGTCTTTAATGCAGTGGGCAGCACTAACGTCAGTATATTGGTGGACGTTCACTGTGAGTATCTATCCACCACATGTCTATTTATGGGTTTATGTTAGACTGTATGTGTTTGCCAGTGCTTACTGTAGCAGTGTAACTGTGCAAATTATGTTTTTATTTCAATATGATTTAAAAAATAATAATAAAGTCGTATTTTTCAGTGTGCTCTGATTTGACATATCTATATATAAAACACCATTTCCACATCCACACATCGGGAAATGTGTTTCTTAAAAAGCAGATTGAACTTATTCTGATGCCATTGTACAAAATTTCAATGAAATCTTAGCAGCTTTTATTTCATGGTTTTGTTTTTCAGTTCAAGTTAGATTTTTTTTGTCTGTTTTAGTGGTCCATAAATATATAGTTATTTTAACTTAAAATCATCTTCTGAATTGTTGTTGTTAACAACATTTTCTCTCTTGTAGTTGGTCCAATTTTGGTGGTGGAGCCAAGGCCTATAACAGTGGACGTCGACTCTGATGTCTCACTCAACTGTAAATGGTCAGGAAATCCCCCTCTAACCCTCACATGGACCAAGAAGGGCTCCAGTATGGTTAGTCCACACAGGGTTCTACCGGGTGCACTCACCTTTAAAAAAAAATTGTGGGGGCTTAACATACACTGTCTGTTACACAAGTACAAAAGTGTTGCATGGACCATTTTTAACATTGTCTATTTTTCTTTATTCCATTGTTGTTTAGGTTCTCAGCAATAGTAATCAGTTATTTCTGAAGTCTGTGAGTCAAACAGATGCAGGACAGTATGTGTGTAAAGCCATCGTCCCCAGAATCGGCGTCGGCGAGACAGAGGTCACTCTTACAGTCAATGGTCAGTAACACACAAAAGTACATCATTGCAAAAATTCACATGAGTGAACCTGCAATTCAAAAACTTTTCCACAGTTGAAAAGTGCATCATCATCTACTCACATAATGCAAGTCTTATTGACTTTGTTTATTATACAAGATTACATCATTTTTAAAACTATGCTTGCACAAGAGTGCTAAAATCATGAGATGACTCTCCTGTGATGTGATTGGCTGTTCAGGTCCTCCAATCATCTCGAGTGAGCCAGTCCAGTATGCCGTAAGAGGAGAGAAGGGGGAAATAAAGTGCTACATAGCAAGCACCCCTCCGCCGGACAAAATCGTGAGTTAAAATCCCACTCTATACTGTACATCCTCACAGCTTTTATTACAGCAGGGGTCGGCATGCAGAGGGATAATCAACAAGAGCTAAAGAGAATTTAATTAAAAATAAAAAGTCCCTCAAACTTGCGTACGGTAGGGATTTGCGAGACTATTCGACTAGTCGATAAAACAAAACTGCTGCTGCTAGTCGACTTGGAAATACTAGTCGTTTAGGTCTACATTTTTTGCACATTTAATGTGTGCAACATTAAAAATAATTATAATTTAAAATAATTATTTAAAAATAATAAAAAAAAATGTATATTAACGTTTAGTTTTACATCAGATTTTGGCTCGCGTTGGTTTTCTCTGTGGTGCTTGCGGCGGGTTCAGAGAAAGATGAGCAAGGTTAGGGAGTATTTTAAAAGCCTATCGTTACACAAAGCTTTCCGCTTTCTTCTATGTCATGCCAAACGGGTATTTAACACTTAAGCTTGCTTACTACCGGTTATGAGCGCCAATACATTACAGTATGACATTTTATATCGGGTTTAAGGAGAAACATTATGAATGAAAATTACTTGACACTTGAACAGTTGCTATATCCACATCCTAATGAAGAGAATATGTATAGTTGTCAGTGTACTAGTAGACTAGTCGGCCGCAACATTTCAGTTTCTGGTAATCATTCCTCATAGTCACACAGCCTTTTTTATCATGTTTATTAAAGTGTGAGATTTTAACCTGTGCTAGCATGCAGATCCAACAAATTCCTGACTGTCTAAAGAGAGCACATGTGGCATGCTTTGATTTGCAGCAGACAATTTCATGCATCCCTCAGACACTGCAAAAAATGCATGTGAAATAAAATAATAAAGTTTTGCTTAAAGGAGCTTTAAAGTTGAGGTGGGGCTAATTCTTCCTTCGTTAGAAATTCTAGTTATGCATCACTGACATCATTTCTCTGGGCTTTCAATGTTGTTTCTTGGCACTAATGGCACAGAGAGGACATACAGTAGCTTTAAGTATATATACTGTCCCTCTTAATGTGTCTCTTACTGTACTTGTTTTAGTCATCCTTCTTTTATCATCTTTACACCATACTTGAATACTGGAGAGAGAAAGAGAGCAATAACAAAGGAAGCGTACAAAATAGAGGTCAAGAAGATATCAACTGAGACATGAAAGATGAGGTGAGCTGACGGGGAGGGGGAAGAAAAAGAGTGACTGCGCTGAACAAAGTCCTGTACCTTTCAGTGTCGATTATCACCGGAAGACGACGCGACATGACAGACAAATGAGTGAGCTTTTAACAATCTCAGCACTTTACTCAGCGCTCTGCCTCTTTTCCTCTTTCCTTCTCTCTCTCTCTCTCTCTCTCTCTCTCTCTCTCTCTCTCTCTCTCTCTCTCTCTCTCTCTCTCTCTCTCTCTCTCTCTCTCTCTCTCTTCTCTCTCTCTCTCTCTCTCTCTCTCTCTCTCTCTCTCTCTCTCTCTGCCTTCCACCTGTCCTCTAGTCGCCCTCCTCCTCTTTTTAATTTTCGAGTCACTCTTTTTCCTTTCTCTATTTTAACATGCTTTGTTGGCACAATAAATACTGCTGTGCGTGCCAAATAGTGTAAAAGCAGTAAACAAGTACAATTAGCAAATCAAAAAAATATTTAAAAAAGTATATATATATAAATATTTTAAATAAAGATAAGAAAAAGTAAAAAAAAAAGTAAATGAATAAAACAAATATTAACAAATAATACAACTTAAATGTTTTATTTTGCAAATGATAAAATAAATAATAATGGCAAAAAAGTAAAGTAAAGTGAAAATAGGGGGAACAAATTCAAGTATTAAAAAATAAACAAGGGATGGTTTATAAGTATAACAAATAAAATAAAATGAAACAAAAGTCAAGCAAGCTATTAAAGGAGATAACAATGAAATGAAAAATATATTTGCCCATAATAGTTGTGCTGTGCTTAAGTTTAATGACTTCAGTCATCTCTCTCTCTCTCTCTCTCTCTGAACGCTCTCTGGAAAATGAGACATGACACACCAGGACTGGCCTTAATGTGAAGACTGTACTTATGAAATAATGAATAATGGAATGAATGAGGAAAGAAGGTGCGATGAGAGGAAAGGCGAGCAGGCCATATGCTTTTGTTCCTCATCTTCTCGTCCTTCCTTTTGCTCCCCCCGATCTCGCTCCCTCTGCTGTCAGTTTGAGAGGGACATTAGCGCTGTGAATATTTTATGGAGTGTTGTTCATTTTGTATGAACTATCTGCTCTCCCACAGTTCAGAGCAAAATACTAAAAGATGTAAACACCTGCCTGTGTATGCATTTTTTTAATGCATTTTAAAAAATTGTATGACATTCCCATGTCGCTGTTTACTAAAGTGTATATGTGTGTGTTAATGCATTAATGTTTTTTCTGCAGGTTTGGGCCTGGAAGGAGAATGTGTGGGAAAAAGAGAGAGGGACGCTGTTGGAGAGGTACACAGTGGAGCAGAGCAGACCTGCATCACAAGGGGGCGCCGTTCTGTCCACGCTCACCATCAATAATGTCATGGAGTCCGACTTTCAGTCCACTTACAACTGCACGGCATGGAACGCCTTTGGACCAGGAACCATGATCATCACCTTGGAGGAGACAGGTCAGAGAAAAGAAAAAAAAAACACTGATGCAGTCTAATGTTACTGACCTGTGTCATTCTCTTTCTGTGTCAGATACATTGTCTGTAGGTATAATATCTATCTATCTTTCTAGCTCTAGCATCCACACACAAGCAATGAGATATATATAGTCTGTTGGTATCTTTCTTTCAGTTATATAAGTCATATAATACCGGTCACTTTTTTTAGATCTAGTGTCTGAAAGGGGTCTTTCTCTCAAATACAGAACGGTTGTAGATATAATACCTGTTTTTGTCAGATAAAGTCACTGTAAGTGTCTTTCTCTCAGATATAGAGTATATGGTCTAGTAGACATATTACCTGTTTCTCTCTCTAAGACATAGTGTGTGTAGGTGTATTTCAGATATAGAGTGTAACACCTGTATATACAATACCTGTCTCTCTCTC